GAATAAATGTCAGATGTTTGAGAGCCACAAGACATGAACAAATACATGTTTTTATTGAAAAATATGAAAATTTGCTTTTATTAACATTAAATGAGACTTCCAGAAATAAAAACAAAAGGGGTAAAAAGAGATATTGATAATGATATTTAGATGGAGAGGGAGGGGAGAAAAGAGAGAGAGAGAAAGTGGAAAGAAAGAAAATAGATGGGGAGAGGGAGAGGTAGAAAGAAAGCAACTTTAACTTGCATCTTCCAAGACCTCCATGCTGTCATGCTGGCTTACTTGACTTGGAGAAGGGATTTAAAGAGACAAATGCCTTCTCCAAGCCAGCCGGCGGCGGTGTATGTGTGTCTTTAAGAAAGTATTTAAAGTTCAAGTTGCTTTCATTCTCTGCTCCCGCCCCCCAAGCCTACCCAGGGAGGGGAACACTGGCTGGGGAAGGGAAGAACGATTGGGGAGGCATTCTTCCCTTTCACTTTCCCAGCCGCCCTGCCAGGAGCTGCACAATATGTGTGAAAGAGCCACCTGTGGCTCCTGAGCCGCAGTTTGGCCACCCCTGCTCTATACCATCCAGCAACATTCTAGGTGATAACACAAACTATTTGTCTATTTGGTACAGCATTGCTTAATTCACTACCTATAAAAAATCTGCCTCTTTTCCAGGTACACAAACATTACAGTACACTATTTTAGGGGAAAGTGGAAGAGGGAAATTTTTCAATTGAACCGAATCAATTTCATCTATATCCATTAAAGTACATTGATGTACATTTAAATTAGATTGAATTGAATGGTCAACAGGAGAAACAGCAGTTAGTTAATCCATTGCTATTTGAAGGTAATTTAATTTCCTCGGGCTGAGATTTTTTTTAGGATTTAAATTTTCCACTTAAAGATTCTATCTTAGATACTATATATTGTTGATAGCCTACTCTGTGGCAGCGATCGTGGCAAGGAGGCAATATTTTTCTATCACCATTGCATCCACACAGTGTAGACCTGTTCTGGCCAACAGAAGGAGGTGGACTGCTCTGCAGCCTGCTGCAATCATTTTGGTAAGCACTTTGAAGGTAAAATCTCTCACATCTCTTCTTACTTGGACTCTACATTAACAGCAACAGGATCAAATGATCCCAGGGTGCCAATTGGTCTAGTTGTGTGGGATACCTTTCAGATTGTGCAGTCTGAGGATGTGGACAGGATTCTAGGAAACCTACCACATCTTTGTATGACCCTTGCCCTTCCTGGCTGCTTAAATCTGCTGCATGGGGCTGGCAGAGTGGGACCAGGAGACAGTATAAACGCCTCCCTGAGAGATGGGTTGGTCACTCCTGCCTTGAAGCAGACAGTAGTGTATCCAGTCCTTAAAAAAACCTACTGTGGACCTAGGAGAGTATCAATAATTATCATCCAGTCTCAGATGTACCATTCTTGAGCAAGGTGATTGAATGAGCGACAGCTGGCCAACTTGAGATTCCTAAATGAAGTGGATTGTTTAGATCCATTCCAATCTGGTTTCAGGCCTGGTTGTGGGACTGAAATGGCCTTGCTTGCCCTGATGGATGGCATGTTCCAGGAGGTGGATAGGAGGAAGAGTGCAACCCAGTTAATTTTCATGGACCTCTCAGTAGCTTTTGAAACCATTAATCATGGTAGTATCAAAAGGCACCATTGGCACTGGGTCTGGGAGGCACTGTTCTACGGCAGTGCTGGTCCTACCTTGAGGGTAGGTTTCAGGGTATGATGCTGGGGGAGCTGCTGCTCTGCCCTTTCCTTTGGCCTGTGTGGTTCTTGTCCACCATACTTTTCAACATCTATGTAAAATTGCTGGGAGAGATCATCTGGAGATTTGGGCTGCCCTGCCACCAATGGGCAGATGACACTTTGCTCTATCTAGCACTATCAGTGGATCCCAGGGAGGCTATGGAACTGCGAATAGGTGCCTGAAGGCAGTTTTGGAATGGCTGAGGGCTAACAAGCTGAAACTCAACCCCAACAAAGCAAAGGTGCTTTGAGTAGGGGGAAGGTCTGACCTGGGTAATGGGTTATCTCCTTGTTCTAGATACAATTGCACTCCCCTTAAAGGAGCAGGTTTGCAGCTTGGGGGTCCTTCTGGACCTGGGTCTCCTATTGGATAAACAGGTGGTGGCAGTGGTCAGGGTGCCTCTTAGCAGCTTCAGCTGGTAAGCTAGCTGCACCCCTTCCTGGACAGCAGAGTTCTTGCCACTGTGGTGCATGCCCTGGTAATATCTATCATTGCAATGCTGTCTATGCGGGCTGTATTTTACTGTGTTTTAATTGTTTATTTTTTTTTTATGTTTGCCGCCTTGTGGACTTTGATTGGGTGGAAAGGCAGCATAAAAATGTTTTAAACAAAGAAATCGGTTTAGCAAGAATATGGCTTAGGAAGTTCTTAGAGCAGCCACAAGCCAATTGTCTATAGGTACAAAGTTGTGCCTATATTAGACTTACTTCATTGCATACAAGTCTAGGTTTCAACCCTTCTACCAGTCAATTGGACACCCAGAATGCCACAATGCCAGAATTTATTGTGTATATAGCCAAAGGCCGTCACAATACAGAGTTTGGATAAGAAAAGGAAAATAATTCTAATCATACATCGTTAAAACAGCGATTAAAAGAATTTTCACACAAATAAATATGGACCAGCTATTAATGTTATAAACAGTAAAATTGTAAAATAATAAATTCGGTTAGTCATAAAAAGGTTAATTTTCTGAAGCTGCCATCTTAGCCCTGATCTTTTTGGCGGCCAAGGCAAAGAGAGACACTCTATAACTGACAAGCGTATCAGTGTCAGATAATAATTGGACACCCTTTTAAAAACAGCCATTCTGAGTTCTCAAGACCTTCAACCAGAACTGCCAAGAGCCACCATGGGCACCTGGATAAAGATTCCTTTTGCTTCCGCCCCCCCATGTGACCCTGATACAAACCAAATATCATAAGAAAGCAAATCACTTGGCTGGCTGTAACCATGCATCTATACTAATAAACAAAGGAGGAGAAAAGTGTGGAAAACAGAGACATCTGAGAAAAAATAACAGAAGGTTATGTTATTTTGCTACCATACACTATTGGAGGCGAGGGGCTTTGCAAGATCTGGCTGTGCCAGAGCTGTGTGAAACTAAAGTGAAACAAGCAAACCATATACTGGTGGAGATGTGACATTGTTAGGATGCTGCATCCTGACAAGGACTCTAGCTTGACCTGGCTGGTCTTGCCTTGCTCTAGTGTTGGCTTGGCTGATAGGTTTAGCAGGATCTGATCAGCGAACAGTTTCCCTCAGCCACCTAGCAAACTGCTAAACAGTCCAGCCAGTAAACTCTGAGTACTTTTTACTGTGCTCTCCCTTCTCTGTGCCCCTAGTGGTTGCAGTCAGAACTGCATTAGAAAAAAATCAGAATCAGAATGTTAGAGTTGGAAGGGGTCTTGCAGATCATCTAGTCCAACCCCCTGCATTCTGCAGGAGCATAGTCGAAAGATAGCCCTACAACATCCCCAAAAGATGGTTGTCCAGCCTCCGCTTAAAAACATCCAGCGAAGGAGCATCCATCACCTCCTGAGGCAGTCTGTTCCACTGCTCAACCACTCTTACAGTTAGAAAGTTTCTCCTGATATTTAGCCGGTAACAACTCCCTTGTAATTTCCACCCATTAGATCTAGTCTTGCAATACGGAGCAAGAGAGAATAGATCTGCTCCATGACAGCCCTTCAAATATTTGAAGACTGCAATCATGTCCCCTCTAAGCCTTCTCTTTCCCAGGCTAAACATACCCAACTCTTTCAGCCTTTTCTCGTAAGACTTGGATTCCAACCCTCTCACCATCCTGGTTGCCCTCTTCTGGACACGCTCGAGCTTGTCAACATCCTTCCTAAAATGTGGTGCTCAAAACTGGACACAGTACTCCAGGTGAGGCCTGACCATAGTAAAATAGAGCGGAACTGCCACCTCCCGTGATTTGGACACAATGCTTCTGTTAATGTGTCCTAAGATTGCATTGGTTTTCTTCACAGCCATGTCGCACTGCAGGCTGTTTTTTAAATGAACTCTGCATTATGTTTTTTATAAATGCACTCTGTGAATCAGGGGCCCTCCAGCTGACTTATGTCCCCCCAATTTTTGTCCCCTCGGTACCCCCCTGCCTTCAAGAGCAAGGCCTAGGCCCTAACTTTCTTTCTTATTGTTTCTTATGGTCTTGGGAATGACATACAGGTAATGAGAAACTGCACCTTTTATGATGATTATCGGACTTGACCGTGTGACTGAACAACAACAACAAGAAAAATATTTTTGAACACTAAAACTCGGAAATTATAGCAATTAACTGTGTTGCTAGATGGGGAGAGCTGTCCTGAGCAGGTCTTCTCTGGATCCTACTTAACTTTGTGCAATGTGGCTTACTCCCAGGAAAGTGGTCTTATGATTGGACTGGGCTGCATCTGCATGATGGAGGCGCCAGTAGTCATTATGTCTTGAATGTAGCAGCTTTTTTTTTAATGTTCAGATATCACCTCTCACCCTGTACACCAAAAAATACAGTAAGTGCTGCACAAGCCATTTCTTTACTTCCTCCTTGGGTGGAGTTTTAGAAAATAATCTAAAGTTAGTACTTGTGGTAGTGTTATGTAGCAACAAGAACGTTTGCCCTATCATACTACTAAGCATGCTTAACCATAAATTGTGGTATTATGTACAGATAAATACTGACTGTCGTTCAGTATTGCTTGATAAATTCAGAGAGACGGAAAGAGAATTGACAGAGCTGCTACAATCTGAAATTATGTTGATGTGGATGCTTTCCTGGTCTTGGTTAAGAAACAGGATGGTGTTAATAAAATATTTGCTTTGCAAGTGGTGTTTTTTTTGCCTTTAATTGTGTTTTTGTTTGATATTATTTTAATGTCAGAATAGAATACATCTGTAGAAGTCGCAGTGTCTGTGGATGTTGAGTTCTTTTTCTCTCTCTCTCTTGCAGGGGGTTTGGGAAACAAGGATTTCAGTGCCAAGGTAAGTAATAAATAGCTTAACAATTGCATTCATTTATTCTGTTTTAATAGTTAAAACTAGGTAGTGTGTAACAGGCCAGCCTGATCTCATCAGATCTTGGAAGCTAAACACGGTAGTATTTGAATGGGAGACCTCCAAGGAATACTATGATTGTGACACAGAGGCAGGCAATGGCAAACATAAGTCAGCTGTGACTTGATGGCAAGATAAAAAAGTGTGACAAATATCTCACAGAGGAATTGAGCATACCAGGAATAAGAGTATTAAATTATGAAAAAGGATGTGTATTGTTTAATCATTTATTATCTCATGATCTGTGAATCATGCACAGAAGAATTTCATTTCAGTAGAGTTCACTAAAATTAAATGTCATGTAATCTGCATATAGAGCACTCTTTAATTTTTCATGAAATGTATCTTTGTGGTTTATTTTTGTACAGAACATTTTTCTTGTTGGGAGCTGCTTTCTAAGTGTGGGTGTTCTGAAAAGTGGATTCACTCTTCACTGGGCTCTCTTTAATGCTAATATATATATATGTTAATCTACATTGGTTTCAAGAATGCATTCAGATGGACCTTTGGTTTGGTTTGATCTTTATTCTGTTTCATAACCTCCATTGTTACTAATGGTAGACATTATATTTGAGGACAGAAAATGCTAACATGTTTGCAGAACTGAATTACTGGCAGCAGCAGGTGTTGCCATCTTTTTATCTGTGCATATTTTGATTCTTTCTTAGCATATTTGGATGTATGAAGTTGCCATACTGAATCAGGGAATTGGTCTGTCTGACCCAGTACTGCCGATTCTCTCCTGGCAGTGGCTCTTCAGGTTTGGTGTAGTGGTTAGGAGCATGGACTCTAATCTGGGAGAACCGGGTTTGATTCCCCACTCTTCCACATGCAGCTGCTGGTGTGACCTTGGGTCAGTCATAAATTCTTTCAGAGCTGTTCTCTCAAGGACAGTTCTTGGGAGAGCTCCCTCAGCCCCACCTACTCACATGGTGTTTGTTATGGGGAGGGAAAGGGAAAGGAGATTGTAAGTCGCTCTGAGACTCCTTCAGGTAGTGAAGGGCAGGGTATAAATCCAATCTCTTCTTCTTCCTCTAGAAGACTTTCCCAGTTACCAAAAACCCTTTTAACTGTAGATGTCAGAGATAGAAGCTGTGACCTTTTCTGCTCGCAGAGTATGGGCTCATCCACTGAGCTGAAGAAGACTAGGAAGAGGAGATTGGATTTATACCCCACCCTTTACTCGGAGTCTAAGAGCAGTTTACAATTATTAAAAAAATACAATCGCCTTCCCTTCCCCTCCCCACAACAAGACACTCTGTGAGGTAGGTGGGGCTGAGAGAGTTTTGAGAGAACTGTGACTGACTCAGGGTCACCTAGCTGGCTTCATGTGGAGGAGTAGGGAATCAAACACAGTTTTCCAGATTAGAGTCTGCCGCTCTTAACCACTACACCAACCTGGCTGTCTCTCATATTAATTAAATGAGAGTCTCCCTCATATTAACTTTTTTTCCCCTTGAAATTTTGTCAACATTTCAGGTATTCCACATGAATAAATATATATTCACCTCTGTGATAATGTAAAGGTAAAGATTTCTCTTGCTCAAAAGCCAGTCGAATCCGACTCTAGGGGACAGTGCTCATCTCCATTTCCAAGCTGAAGAGCCAACACTGTACAAAGACGTTTCCATGGTCATGTGGTTGGCATGACTAAACACCAAGGCACACAGAATGCTGCTACCTTCCCACTGAAATGGTACATATTTATCTTCTTGCAGTTTCTTGCTTTTGAACTGCTAGGTTGGCAGGAGCTAGGGCCAGAGACAGGAGCTCACTCTGTCATGCGGCACTAGGGTCTCAAACTGCCAAACTACAGACCTTCTGATCTGCGGCTCAGCATCTTAGTATACTATATTAATGCACCATTACTACCTGTTTGTTGGCCACGTTACAGGGTAGCTGATTTTATTACATGGTTGAATGGGGGAACAACTTTAGGTCTGGTAATTTCATCAAACCACAAGTGGAGCTCTGTTCTTCTTGTGGAATTGCCTTCTCCTTCCCATTAAAGGAATGTGGCTTACTGGCTTCCCCTGATATGGTGTTCTTGGAACAGTGCTGGATGTCATGTATGGGGGGGGGTTATGAACCCCCCCCCTGCGGAATGGACCTTGATACTACCCATAGGGCTAGTAGGTAGCTGATAGTGGCAGTTAGTGAATTTTGGAATTATGACTGCTTTTTTTTTTTTTAATCTGTTATCTCCCTTCTATCCTGATAATATGCTTACGTGCTGCATATATGTTACTCTCAAGGAGCCTAGCTATAATGATGGAGTGTGGGTACGTTGGTATTGTATGGTGGCTAAGAACTTGAGTTGTGAGCTGGAAAGGCTTTAGTTGGGGAAGATGCTAATAGGAAACTCTCAGCTGGACTCCATGTATCTTGGACTATAGCTATTGTTCAAGTCTTACCTCTGTCAGGGCCCCATCTCCCCCTCTTTTCAAAATGGAGACATCAAAATGCCAACCATACCCACTTTTAAGTTGAGTGCAAACTTGCCTGAAAATAATGTGCTTTTAGCTGGGCCAAGAAAAAGCTGTGATTTGACCTGAGACCACAAATAGATTTGACCAGAACCTAGTTTAAATGGCTCTACTCATTCATATAACTGTGAGCAGAGTTCCTCTTTTACATCACCAAATAAAGAACCTCCATTTTCTAGAGGTTAGGAAGAACAGGGTATGCATGCGATCATAATCAAAACAAAGTGAAGGGAAATATCGGTGTAGCCAAACTGGAACCCTCCAGTTCCATATTACAACCCCAATACAATTATAGTTTAATTAAGCATGTATTCATAATTCCAGGCAGGCATGGTTGGGTACCAGTGTCATTAAAGGCTGACAGTCACCAACACATCACAGAATATAAGTTCCAGAGTGGGGCAGGAAAGTCCAGACATTCCAAGAAGAGGGCTGAAAAATCCAGAGACAGTCACTGCAAAGAAAGAAAGAGGCAAACTATGAGAGCTAGCCAATATGAAGGCTGTTTAAGGAATCCATTCCCAGTAGTAAAAGTGGCAGGGTTAGTGGACTTGGCAACTGCCTCTTGTGTTATTGAACATGACCATACTCACTTTTTTGTATTAAAAATATAGGACTCGCAAATGTGGCTGCAAGTCCCTATGACTTACCTGTGCAGATCGTTGGTTAGGGTTATCACCTCTCAATCCTGGTGGTAGAATTGTGAAGGCATGGGAGTAATTCTATTGAACAAAAGCAGTAAAATTAACCTTGTAGGATACTCAGGGCTGAGAAAGACTGTGGAACTGTGTTAGTGTCTGTATGAGGAAAGGACACTTGCATGGCTTCAGGAGGAGGCAGAGTTCCTACCAGGATAAAACAATGGAAACCTGCTGACTTATAAAGGTAGACTTCAAGGGTAGGTATTGCAATAGTCCAGTCTAGTAACTAACGCATGGATTACTGGGGGTAGATCTGGCTGAACCAGGAATGGGTGCAGCTGATGCACCAGATGAAGCTGGGGAAAAACACTCCACTGGGGAATCGGGCCTCCGAAGCGGGGGTTTATCCGCCCCCCCGCCCCCACTTGGCAGCCCTAGTTTTCACTGGGAAATTTCCATGGAATGACTTCAGTTTATCTGTAATATTTTTAAAAACCCAAAATCTATCTGACAGAATCTTCAAATACTAAGGTATATATCAGACTTTAAAAATCAAATTAGTTTAGTGAGCTTTACTTAATTTTGTTATATGTTCAGAGGCCAGGATCCAACTGTGAGCAGCTTTGGTTTATACAGAGGGGCTTCCCCCCCCTTAATTCCCACAGCAGCTTTTAGCAGCCTCCAAAGCTGCCTCTGACTTGAGGAGGGAGACCTACCAGACAATAGAGATAAAGGAAAGAGTTGCTAGTACCCAATTAGGATGTTATGACAGATTTACAGTTCTAAACCAGTGAGTCGTCAGTCTCTGTGGTATGTGAGGATAGGAGGGAGGGAAAGGGTGTGCAAGCACATGGACTTCCAGGTTCAAACCTTGGGCTTGTTTGGTTGTTTGAATGCAGCCCAGAAGTCATCAGTGACTTGTCTACTTTCTACCTAAGTAGGAGTGTTACCAACATAACTACCGATCTCTTGTTACTTTTGTATTTGACTAGGGAACTTGTATGCAACAGCTAGAATGTTTTGGTGTTTGTATCAGACAGAATGAACTTTTATATACTGTAAAATTTTAGGGAATACTTGCTGATTGTAAAAATTGCTCTAACCTGAAGTTAATGTTCTTTCTTCAAGTTAAATGTCTTAATGAGAACTTATCTTTCTTAATTTTGAATGACTTGATCCCTGAGAATGACTTGATCCCTGATTGGTTCTGTTTTTCATTTTATTTATCAAATTCATATCCCATTCCCTCTCCCCTGAACAGGACTCAAGGTGGCTAACAACATAGAAGAAACTTCAGATAAAACAGTAGAGAAAATACAATAAATAAGCTTTAAAATATAAAAATTAAAATTTTATCATGCTCAAAATCTATCAACTATCAAGCAGGGATTCTGGAAACACAGCTGGGACATAATTCACTAGCTTCCTGGCAGATCACAGTCACCCAAAGGCCACCTGAAAAATTGCATGTCCTGCAGCACCTAGGGAGGCCCCACAAGGCACACACCTCTTCAGACAGCTGGTTCCACAGGATGGGGGAACTACTGAGAAGTCCCTTGCCCTTGTTGGCACAAGGCAGATAATTTTACCATTATTACCTGGGTGGAAATTGAATTGTCAATAAAAGGGCTGAACCTGCTCACTCTTTTAAAGTTGGTCTTGGTGTGAATGTTTGTATAACTACAATTATAATAGCCTTGTGGTTTATTTGCTTTCTTCTTGATCACAGGCAGAGTGTTCATCCATCCTGTTAAAGTGAATGCCTTCAGGGACATCTGTCTGGACTCTGAATAGGTGCTTT